TTCTTTTTCAATTATTGTTTTAAATTCATCAACTATAAGTTTTTTTTTTTTTCATTATCCAGATTCCAACACTTTTTTCGACATTTCTTTTCATTATAGTCCACAAATTCTCGATTGGATTTAGGTCAGGCGAATTAGAGGACCAATCGATCATTTCAATATTGTGAGTTTCGAGAAGATCTTGTGTAATTTGAGCTGTATGAACTGGTGAGTTGTCTTGTTGAAAGCGTAACCTGTTATTTATGTTTGAAAAAAGGTTGGCCTTGAGAATTTCACAATATCTTTTAGAATTTAGATTGTTTGTAAATAAAACTAAAGAAATTGGTTCTTATACCGTGAATGCACCCCAAGCATGAATTTTGTAAGGGTGTTTAACCATACTTTGGCATGGATGTAGATCTGTATGACGATGTTGGACTAGTTAAGTATTACGAAACATCTGAAAAGTTGTTTCGTCAGAAAAAATAGTGGTGGACCAAGTTTTATTTGCATGATTTAAGGCCCATTCAAGATGTTTGTCGATATGAACAGGACGAAAAAGAGAAATCTGTCGTGGCCGACAAACTACATATTGAAGATAATTTTTAAGAGTATGTTGGATAGTGCGCTTTGTTACATTTAAGTTGGTATAGTTTGAGTAGACAAATGTACATGTTAATGGATAAAATTAAAGTTTATTTTGTAGAAAAAAGAAGGATACTCAGACCAAATTATTATGCCTCAGCCTTAAAAAACTAAATATTAGAGAGAACTTCAAGAGACCCTCACACATCCCAAAATAAATAATAAAACATTTTTACATCCTCTATCCAACTATAGAAAAAAATATAAACTTTTATACTTTTTAACTATCACAAACATTTACAATATAATACAAACTCTCCAAATCTCCCTATTATTTTATAAACCTACTATCAAAATACTAAACATACAATCAACCAATATTATATTACTTCAAATAAATATCATTGATATACTTCCTATTCAATATACATTAACAAGCACACAAAATAATTCTTTATCCCCAATTAGGAAGCATCTTAAACAAATAAACAAAACATACTGACTGACAGAAATAATCCATTCTGAAAGAACAAAAACAACCTTTAAACCTGACCTATCACTTCTTGTATACACTTTAATCTTTCTTAAAAACATATGGTACCTATCCCAATTACACAATATCAATCCAAACTATATAATTTCTGCCTCAAAATTCTTTCTAATACTCTTCCTACAAAGTTTCACCTACACATAACATCTCTAAATATATATAACAATGACCTGTGTTCACAATGCAAAATAAATCCAAAAACAATATACCACCTTTGGATCTGCAAAGAAAGTTTAAACACAAATACTCTTGAAAAAGAAATTCAAAAACAACAAAAATTTTAATAAAAAACAAACACAAAAAATCCTCGACACTAACATCCATATTATTAGCTTTGCAACAGGCACTATTGAATCAAAAACTTTTTTCAAAAATCTCAACCCAACAAAACTTGATCTCAAAAATATTATGAAAATCCAAAATGAAACACTTGAACTAATATATACACAAATATGAATCCCCAGAAATTAGGAAATGATCATTGAAGAAAAATTTCTCGACATCTTACAAAATACCAAATATAAAAAAAATTTTAATAAAAATGCAATCTATAATATATAACAAAAAAACATATAGTGGGTGACAAAAAGATCTGGACTTTTAATTTATTGTACAAAACGCGTTATTTTTTTTATTATTTATTATTATATTTGTAAACTTTTTTATGTTGTTATAACATGTAACTGTATAATTAAAATTATATAAATAATAAGTTTTTTTTTTTTTATTAATTTAATACTAGTCATAAAAAATGCCTTCTAAAACCGATCCTGCTATACAAAGAATAATCGTAAGCCAACTTTGGTTTAATAACATTAAGAAACCTGTCAAAATTATACAAATAACCGGTTTTCCCAAGTTTATAATATATGATCTTGTAAGTAGACTTAAAAAAAATGGTACCCTTACCTCTTGCTCTATTCCTGGGAGATCAAAAATCCTTGATGCTCAAAAACAACATTATCTTGAGCAACTTATAAAAAATAATAATTCAATCACTGCTACAGAAATACTTGTCAAACTTAATAAAAACTATCCCAACTTAAATGTAACAAAGCACATTATCCAATGTACTCTTAAAAATTATCTTTAATATATAGTTTGTCAGCCACGACAGATTCCTCTTCTTCGTCCTGTTTATATCGACAAACATCTTGAATGGGCCTTAAATCATGCAAATGATACTTGGTTCACTACTATTTTTTCTAACAAAACAACTTTTCAGATGTTTCGTAATACTCAACTAGTCCGACATCGTCATATGGATCCACGTCCATGCTGAAGTATGGTTAAACATCCTTACAAAATTCATATTTGAGATGCATTCACGGCACAAGGACCAATTTCTTTAGTTTTATTTACAAATAATCTAAATTCTAAAAGATACAGTATTGTAAAATTCTCAATGCCAACCTTTTTCCAAACATACAGTAAATAACAGGTTACGCTTTCAACAAGACAACTTACCAGTTTATACGGCTCAAATTACACAAGATCTTCTCAAAACTCACAATATTGAAACGATCGATTGGCCCTCTAATTCATCCGACCTAAATCCAATCGAGAATTTGTGGGCTATAATGAAAAAAAATATTGAAAAAAGTATTGGAATCTGGATAATAAAAAAAAAAAACTTACAGTTGATGAATTTAAAACAATAATTGAAAAAGAATAGGAGAATTTGGATCGTGATCTTTATTTTACATTGTCAAATAGTATGAAAAATTGTATTGATGAGGTCATTTCACAAAAAGGGCAAAAAATAAATTACTAAAATTTATGTACTTACATTTTTACTATATTTAAAATTGTTTTTATAAAAATTTTTTAAATAAATAAAATTAAAAAAAAATTTTTTATATAATAAAGAAAAGTCTAGATCTTTTTGTCGCCTACTGTATTTTCTTTGATTTCTATTGTTCTTTTATAGGATTTGACAATGGTTTAAAAAAAATTAATTAATTAAAATAGCAGTTTTAAATTGAAAATAGTTTCATATATACAGTATTTTTAAAGTCAAAAGAATTGAAGAAGTTCTTGAATTATATTAGTTCTAAGTCATATCTTGCAATTCTTATATAAGAGATAAGCTAATGTCAAGTAAGTTTGATGGTACTATTGAATCTGAGTAGTTGATTGATAAATTTGATATTTAATATATTTACCATATAAATAGCTATAGTTTTGAGATATTTTTTAAGACCTTTAAATATAAAACCTATAGAATTTTGTACTTTATTATAATGAAAAGAATATAATAGTAGACAAAATTAAATTTTAAAGCTTTTTGCTATATATTCTATACTAATAAGTCAATTGTCTTGACAAAATTTTTCTAAATTACATAGTGAACAAAATCAAATAACTTCTTTTTTTTTAAGTTGATTTGATATCTTGATAAATATATTTGTTAATTAATGGGATTATAAGTTTGGATATTATATTATTAACTAATAAGACTTTTTGTCTTTGTTTAAGTAGAAAGATTTTCAGTTTCCTTTTATTTATTAAAATTATGTTAAAGTATTTGAAAAAGATTCTGTATAATAATTTGATAAGCTTATTAATTTTTTTTTAAAAATTATTAAATAAGAATTTGTAGAGATGTAATATTAAAAAAAAATTTTCAAACTTTTCAAAAACTATTTATTCAATAATTTTTTATATAATTTTTCCTTTTTATTTTCAATAAATAAGTTCTTTTAAAATTTTAATAATTGTTTCTTTAAGGATTTTTTTATTGAATTTTAGTATATTAAGAAATAAAATTTGAATACCTAAGTATTTGATACTTTTATAAGATTTAAAAACTTGAATATGGTAATTATTAAATAAGATATATTGAGATAAATTGTTTTTTATTAAGATATTGTTAATTATTTTGTTTTTACCTTTGTTATATAACAGATTATTGATTTTGAAGAATCAGTTGATTGTTTCTAAAAGGTCTTCTAGCTTAGCTTTGAAATCTGCAATTAAAACAAAGTTATTATATATACTAAGGTATTGGAAACATATTATTAAAGATTTCTTGATATCTTGATAATTTGGATATAAAAGAATTATAAAAAATCATCCAACAATTGAAAATAATGTTTCTCCTTGCTCAATACTATTATTGATTGTAAAGGGATTTGTTGAACCTAATGAATTTAATAATCTTTTTTTAATAATTGAATTTTAAAAATAAATCGCATTTTCTATAATACAATCAATCAATATTATGTTCGAGTTTCTAAATATACATGTAATTAATGATTTAACTATATAAAATTTTTAATATATCTAATAACAGATATGATTATCAAAATAATCAATACATATTATTTAAAAATGCATGATTTTAATAATTGTTATTAAATTTTTTAAATAAATAAAATATGAAATTAAAATTAATTAAAGTTTATGTGATTTTATTTAAAAATAAATCAAAAAAAAGAAAGTTTATTTTTTACAAGAATTATCTCTATGGATGGCTATCATATAATCCGGAGCCTTTTTTAAACGGCGTGCGTCCTAAATTGTTAAAAGATGCAGGCGAAAATTCTAAGATTTTATTTTATTTGGTTTTAATGAAAATATAAACATCACATTCTTTTTTCTTGCCGTTTTAAGTCTTGTACTGTACATCTAATTGAGACTAATCAAAGGATTCTTTTAAACCATTATCATAGGTTTCGCATTGCCAAGAAATGGTTGGTACAAAGATCTTCCTCTTACTTAAGTGCTACAAATCCGATCAAACTATAATATATATGTTATGACGTAAAAACGTTTTTATATTAGTTCGTGATTGACAAAAACCTGGTCAATGCCAAAGAAATTATCTTCATAATATCAACCATATATATTCAGTGGAGAAAAAGAGTGTACATATATAAAAACCATGTCACATACGGAAGAAAGTCTTTTGGAATTTTCAATGAAATTCTTAGATGCAGTTTTTGGAGAGGGTGATACACCAGAGGTGACCTTGACCCGATTTGAAGTAAACGATCCGAATGAACAAAAAATACAACCCGCAGATGAAGACCATGCCCTTAACCCTCAAGATCTCGTACAGACAAAGCACTTAGACATAACACAACCTCTCCCTCCTCAGAATGAACAAACTTCCGTAGAGAGCAAAAAGGCATCATCTGAATTAATCGATTCTGGGCAAGCTACTAATTCCTCTCATGTTTCTGCTGCACAGGCAAGCAACAAAATGGAAGAAAAATCTGATTCTGTTACACAGTTAAATAGTGAATCGAAAGAAAAGACGGTTTCTACTGCACAATTGAATAATGATTCGAAAGAAAATACTTTAGAAAAAAGAAGCTCAGGTCTAATAGATGCCACTCTTAAGAGAAGGTCCATAATAGGCCTAGAAATGATTGAATCTCTTGATATTTTGAACAATGAACCAATAACTGAAGAATTACACATCGAAACACATAACCCATCACATTTATTCTGGGTACCAGCACATTTGCACCCAGAGATAGCTCCGAATGAATTTAGAAAATGGTTAAAGAATCATGTAAAGGACGAATATAGCTCAGGAATGAGTTCTTTGCGAAGACGCAAATCAATGCTTTCTCGACAATATATACCTACAGAAAATGATGAAGATGAACAATCTGAGAAAGATGTAGATGCCAACAAGAAAGTACTTGGTTTTGATTGGGATTCATATGCCGCATCAGATGAGAATATAAATTTGTCAGCGGAATCATCAAAATTAAATGTAATACGAAGAAGTCTTAGTTTGAACTTCTCTCCATTCGCGGGTAGGTCCTTGTTTCTATTACTAAAACTTATAGATATATATATATATTCCCTTACTAAACTTCTAGATTAATATTAGTAGCTATTAATATTTAACATGTCGGTATAAATTCCAAATCATTTATAAATTTAGGTTTTAATTCTAATCCGAAAGATCCAAATGTATTTGACCGGCACTCTTCCAGCGATGTAGATTCACCTGTACTTATTCCGAGAATGGCACCGGCACTTAAACGTACTGCTCGTACAAAGATTCGTAGGAATTCAGTAGCCGGAGAGCAAAATCCTCGAAGATTTTCTGCACACAGGAGGACAAAATCAACTCACGTACTATCCGGAAAAAAAAAGAATGGAAGTTCATTATCGATTCGTGCGAAAAAAACATCAGATCCAAATCTTTCTATTACTTTATTATCATCCCAGTCAGATGAATATGAAAATATTGAAAATGAAATGATATCATCACCTAATGGAACTGAGAAACTTGACAATGACATTGAACTTGACTTTATAGAATCAAATAATATCTCAGGACCCATACGCATAACATTAAAAGACAATGGACCCGCACCACGCAGAACAAGCTCTCTTCCTCCAGGTGCTCATGATATGTCAGATTCTTTACAAGAAGGACGAGTCCCGTTGCCTGACAAAACTAAATTATATGTGAACATACCTGGCGCATCAAAAAATACCACCGAAGTATCAACGTCGCCATCAACGTCGCCTTTAACGTCGCCTTTACCATCGCCTTCAACATCGCCTTCAACATCACAAACACCATCAGATGCAATTAATACACCACAACAAAAAAGGTCGTCGACATGGACTTCGTGGTTTTTTGGTGCGAATTCGGACGAAAAAGATAAAGAATCTAAGACCAAAAAACAAAAGGCAGAAAAAGTCGATCATGAAAATACAGAATCAGTTAACAAAGGTTCTAAAATGTCTCTCTCATCAATCTTTTCATGGTCTTCCCAGAATAAGGGAAAACCTAGTGATGATAATATAGTTGCTACAGATTCAGCTATGTCTGATCCTAATCCAGTATCACCAACCGTTACACCCAATAAAAAACCAAAGTATACCAACTATAATCGTTTGCCAATTCACGTAGAGCGCAGTATATATCGTCTTTCACACTATAAGTTAGCGAATAACCGCCGTCCCTTGCATGAGCAAGTTCTAATATCCAACATGATGTTCTGGTATCTCTCATTAATTAATAAGCAACAAATTGAAAGTGGGGGGGAGGTAAATCCTAATGCTGAAAAAGAAGTGATAAAAGTAAAGAGCAAAGTTGGCAAATCTAATGGAGGTCGTAAGCGGAGGAAAGGCGAAAAGAAGGGAACATCTTCTGGAGCAAGACGACGTGGTGGTCCTAGCGCGGAAATAGCATATAAAGCTCCAAGATATGATATGCAACAAGTATCACAATATATTACTCAGGGTAACTCGCTATATTCTCCAGAATATGATGATGAGTTTGAAACCTATAGTGATTCGGAGGATTCTTCAGAATATAGCGAGGAGGAGATTTACGGTCGCAAATACCATTATTATGATGATGGTTATGTTTCAGATGGTACGGATGGTGGACACTTAAATGACAATCAAGACTTTAATGGTGATAGCATTGGATCTAATTATAATACGATTACAGACGAATTTGACAGAGAAAGTGATTCCATTACGTCTACACGGTCACCATCTCCAAATGGGAGGTCACCTTTAAAGTCTCTAAAAAATCGTTTATCTAATTCTTCGAATGCACGACACTCAGCAAACAAACAAACGACCAGCCCAGCAAGACCACAGTTATCAAGTCCTGGGTCAAGGCATCATCATCTTATGCCACGTGTGTCCAATATTAAAAACAATTTACAAGAAGATGACGAAGATGATGACGTTCCATTGGGTCTTTATAAAACGGGACGTCCTACAAAATGAACATTTTCTAACTTACAATATTACCTACTTAATGTATTATCATCATGAGATCTTTATTTTAATTTCCATCACGAATAACTAATGTGAATCAAATGTATTATTATTATTCGATTGTTATAGACAAAATTTGCATACCTTGGATAGCTCACGTATTAATAAAATGCATGAAGGTCTTCCACTCTTCCATTTCTGGGTTATTTCTCATTTCGTGTAAAAATATTTAAAAAGTTTCACAATTTTAGTAGAATCCATACTCGTTTTTAACCTTTGACATTCTTTCATTCTATTACCCATGTATTCTATTATTTAAAGTCGATTCACAAATTATACACTCATATTAAAAATTAAGTTAATTTTTTAGTGAAAAGTAATTATATACATGTATATCACTTCACTATAATGTGAATTCTAATAATTAATGTTATTTCTTTTTCGCCTTATATGTTTACGTTACGAAAAATCGTCAAATCACAACCAAAACTTTGACTCTCCCAGATATTATTTATGAACAGGATAAACGTAGTTAAATTTGATAACTTACGATGCATTGCTTTAATGGACTTAGATGCGATCAAAATAACTACATTCCAGAAAACCCTAACATACCGTAAAATCAAAACACATGTCATAACATAAAACTAATACGACTAAAAAAAAAAAAAAAAAGGAAAGGAAATCTATGAAACTATAAAGAAAAAAAATAATTGTAAATACCAATGAAAGATATAATTAAAATGTGCTATTTGTCTCGAATAATTCTTTAACTAGGAACTTTAAATTACATGTTATAATTGAAACATATTTATCATGATTACTATTGCAGTTATAGTATTTGTGATCAATATGTCACAGTTAGAACATGGTTACGATGTTATGATTCCATGTCTGGACTTTCTTCATCGTCTGAATATGAATCCACAGAACTTGCTTCATCACTCGAAGAACTTTCATCTGTTGCCGCATCTGCTGCTTCCTTCGTAGCAAACCTACTGACATAGTCTATAAACAATTTCAAGAATTTTGTAATTAAATAATAGCCATAAATTCAAAAAAAAAAAAGTCGAGGAAAACAGTAATCACCTTTTACTTTGCCTTCATAAGTATGTGGCTCTCTCATTAACAACGCAGCAGCCTCGCCATTGAGTGGGTCTGTGGGATTTGGGTATCTCAAAAGTTGTGGAAGGAATACTTCGAAGATATTAATCATATCTATTTGTTCATTAGGATTAGTTTAATTATTACAAACAAAAAATTAATCGGGCGTCAAATAAACTTCAAATCACCAAACATTGGACTCCAGGTTTGATTGATTACATCAAGACAAACGGAACCGCTTCTGAATTCAAATAGATCCGTAAGATTGAATTTTTTTAATTTAACAATACAAATTACGTTCTTTTACTCGTCAGTATACTTACAATTCATCGATATTGGGATGAAAAATTTTGTTCATGAATCCAATCGACGGTGATTTAAATGGATATTGATCAGGGAGTTCAACGTGAACTTTCCAAACACCGCCAGCGAAAGGTGCTTAATAATTTATATTTGAGATCTTGATGAACGCAAAAAAAGTAGTTAAAACACCACAAAAATGTATAAAGCTTACTTACTATCTTCGGGCCCATGAAACCGAACATAAAACTCCTGCATGCTATTATTAACAAGGTTGACTTCATAGTCACTCATGAGGCTGTAGATCCCATGAAAGGAAATTAAGCGATAAGCAAATAATTCTCAGTACAGAAGTGTGACCAGCACATTTTTACTCACAGCTTCATTACATCAGTCTCGATCCTTCTACGTGGTGTAGACATTTTCAATGTATAGAATTTATAGGTTTATGTTTCTTGAAGATAGGGTCTAACGGCTTGATGAGTTTTTGGCTTTAGTATGTAGTATGTGAAAGTAAACGAAAATAAAACTGGCATGTATATATATATCAACCAAAAATACGTCACAGTGCATTACTGTATAATAATATGGCAATGTGGTTCGAAATAAGCATTCTGTAAAAGCCATATGAACATCAGAAATTGTATACTTATAAGTGTATAATGAGAATATAAATTATTTAATAGTTAAAATTCATCTACCGATACTGTAATTCATATTTATTATAAGTTATTATAAATGATATAAATTAATAGAGAAATATATACTGCATATACAGTTTGTGTAAAAAGTCTTCGGACAAATTATTAATTTACATTTCATTTGTAATAAATAATTGATGAAAATAAAATAAAAAATTTAAATATATATCAATAAAATATAAAAAACAAATTTACTTATAAAATTAGTTTTTATATTAAAAAATTTTTTTTAAAAAATATTAATTTAATTAATTTATCAATCAGTAAAATAAAAAAAAAATATAATAATAATAAATAATTTTTAAATTGATTAATTGATTTTTTAATTAAATAAATTAATTAAAATTTTTTGAAAGTTTATATTAAAATTAAAGTTAGATAATTTTTGATAATTAAAAATATTTTATATAGCAAAAATTGTTTTTTTACTTACAATTTATATATATAGCCTATTATAAAAGTTTTTAAACTTTTTTTTGAATTTTATTTGACTTATAATTTTATAAATAATTAATAAAGCAAAATAATATTTATATATTTTTTATTAATATATTTAAAGATTATATAATTAAAAATGAATTCCTAAATTAAAGGCAAAAACATAATTCAAATATCTTTTATTGTTAAAAAAGTTTTTTGTTATTTAAACTATTTGATCCAAGTGTTTTTTGAATTATATTTTTGTATAAATTATTATATCTTTTTAAAAAGAATATAATTGATTTGTAAAATTTTATATATTAAATAATTTAAAAATTTATTCTTAATTATAATTATTAAAAAAATTTTTTTATTATATAAAAAATTTATTATTAAATTTAACCAGAACCTCTTTCCACTGATCTCTTGACCAATACTTCAAAACAGTATTCAGACTAAAACAGTCTTTATTTTTAACAAAACCTATATATTTTCTTTAATAGACTGGAAAAAAACATA